AAATAAATTATTTAAAAATCATACAATGTGATTTCCTGATTTTTTTTTTAATTTTGTCTCTCTCAGAGTGGGAATGCACCTACAATGTGAATTTCAGACCCCTCCATGATTTCTAAGTGGGAGAACTTGCAAAATCACAGGGTGTTCAAATACTTCTGTTCCTCACTGTAAAATGTCAATGGCATAGCCTGCAAATAGTCTGGACCTCAATTGAATTGAAAATCTATGGTGGAAATGAAAGAAAATGGTTCATGACAAGGTTCCAACCTGCAAAGCTGATCTGGCAACTGCAATAAGAGAAAGTTGGAGCTGGATTGATGAAGAATACTGTTTGTCGATAGTTAAATCCATGCCTCAGAGAATTCAAGCTGTTATAAACGGCAGAGATGCAACAAAATACTAGTGGTGTACTGTAGTGTTTTTTTCCTGATTTTTCGTGATATTCCTCAGAAGTGAGTGATTCCATATTTTTTTTCTCTGTTTGATCTGCAAAAACAGTTGCAACTGACTACAGTTTTCGTTCTTTTAAATTTTTTTAAAATGTTTCTTAAAGCCAGAAGATTGGAATATTAAATGAAAATAGTTTTGAGGCATGTCTGTGGTTAGTTTTTCTTCTACACAAACAATTGAATGAACATTTTCCAAGAGTGGTGATTCCATACTTTTTGCAAGGGATTGTGCGTGCACTCATAATGCATTTTTATATTTATTTTTATTTGTCCATGACACAATGGGAATGCAGATTTATTAATTTAAAGGCATAGTGGTCTGGATTTTATTTATAATTTATTGTTTGTGCATATTTGTTCACATATTGATTGGTTTACAGTGCAACATATGTAGTTTAAGTATTCTTATACACATTTGTGTTTGGGTGTGTTTTTGAGTGCAGCTATATAGGGTACTTATTGATTTTCCTTTTATGCACCTAGTGCAGTTTTAGAGACACTTTTGATATTTGTAGAGGTTAGCCTTGCAATGAAGGACATCCACATAGGTATATTTTCCATCTATGAATGGCTTACTTAGCAATAGCAATGTACACTGGATCACAAAGCATCAAAGGCAGAGTGATAGGGTTCAAGAAAAAACACACAGTTTTTATATGACATTGGTTACATATCAGTTACATGTTACAATATGCTTATATCTCAGGCACATATCCAGGAGCAAAAGGGGAAATTCTGATTATCTGAGATAACATTGTAAATGTCACATAAATGATAAATGGTGTTTGTTTATTAATTAAAGTCTTGTATATCAGCCATAAAACTATTAAAAATAACACAAAAGAAAAATTCATAACCAAAGGTACAAGGCCACATGCCCTTTTCTATCCACCTGTTTCTAACCACCATCCCACACATCTAGCACAATGGTTGCCATCATGAGCCTTAACTATCCTTTCATTCCTACATTGTCTAGACAGGGCTACAATAAGAAAAAAGAACTCAGAACACAACAAGATGTAGAACACAGTTCACTTTTAGTTCATTTTTCCTTTACCCTGAGGTAGCTTCCTTGTGACTCCATTTGTTACAAATTAATAATTTAATTCCATGTTGTATCTCATCTTAACATATTTTTCAGTGTTTCTGCTGAAAATATATTGTAGACAACCTTTTTAACAGAGGAACCCTTGAAATAACTTTCCGGTCTCAGGAAACCCCTGTTAAAATTTACTTTATTTACAACTAATGATACATTGGTGTGATGGCCAGTGGGAAGAATGCTCCTTACACTTGTGGTCATTGGGAATATTTACCTTCTTACAGATAGCTAAAAAGATCAATGGTGTCAGTGGGAACTTATCTGAGAGGCATAAATTGCTCATTGCTCAAGGAATCTCTAGGAACCTCTGGAGGAACCCTGGTTGAGAAACGCCACTGTAGACAACAAAAATGACATTATACTGTAGAACTTTGTTTGTGCTTAATACAATTGTATTAACATAGTTATAACTGTTTTTAAAATGTTTCTTTTGTATAGGCTTATATAAAACTGCAAAAGTACCAGAATGCTATAACAGACTGCAAGTGAGTATTGAATGTAAGAGACTAATTTATATCTATGACAATGTACAGAAGGCATGATCCATCAATAAAGGTCAAATGAATCTCACATAAATGTTTCCTTACCATTAAAAAAATGAAAAATCTAAAATGTTCTATGAACACAGCAATGTAGTAATTATATAGCACAAATCTTAAAAATCAAATTGCCAACATTCTGATATCTATGAAATAACAACCTCAGAGGCAAATCCATGACAACCAAGACAAGATTACACAATTATCGAAAACTAGATCTTTCTTTCCCTTCAGATAGACATTGTTCATGTTTAATATTTAAGTACCAACATCAGGACCAAACTATCTGGCCCATTAGCAAATAACCTTTTCCCTCTCCTGCATTGTATTGCTCAATACCTGATAAAAATAGGACCTACAGTCTTCTCATGATTTGGTAGGATGGCCTTGTCAAAATAAGTGTTGTTCCTCGATTCTTGTATATTATATGAACAGATCCTATTAAACTACCCTTTATATCCCTGATATTGCTGAAAAACAGTCCAGTCAACTATAAACCAATATACTGCATTTGGCAGAGAGACATAGGGGTTGATTTACTAAAGGCAAACAGCTGTGCAATTTGTAAATGCAGTTGCTCCTGAGCTAAGAAAATGAGGGGAAGCTTTGCTGACTTCCATCATCCAATCATGTTCAAGCAAAAATGCTGTTTTTTTTTTCATTTTTCTTGCATGTAATTAGGTATTCTTTGCAAAGTGCAGCTCTGCCTCATTTACTAAGTTCTTGAACAACTGCACAGTGTACAGTCTATTTGTAAATGAACCCCCAAGAGTGAATTACTTGTAGGGCAGGAAGGCGACACTTCCTCCATGCCCCCCATTGGGCGCCAAGCAAGGGTCACATAGGAGGCTTGCCTCGAATATGGTACCTTTACTCTGTACCATCTTCACCAATGACCTGGGACAAAGCTGGGGTTGCTGTCAGCGAATACCTGACCTTAAGGTGGGCCTTTACTCCTAAAGATAAACATATGTTAGGAATGGACTGGCCAGCAATGGTGGGACTCACCTGCCTTTTGATCTGCAGTACCAGGGCTGGTCAGCGGGTGCTCCCAGCAATCAGAGACTCAACCTTTCAGCCAGCTAACACCTGGAACTGATGATACTGGTGTATTTAAGGGATGGCCAGACTTGCAGACTCTGCCTTGGTGTTGTGTTTGTCCTGGGCCCTGTATCTGTCCTGCATCCTGTTTCTGTTCCTTTGCTGACTTCTCCTGCTCTGATCCTGGCTTGTGACCCTGACCATCCCTCTGTCTGACCCTCTGTACTACGCTGCTTGCTACCTGTTCTGATCCCTGGCTTGTGACCCGGACCATCCCTCTGCCTGACCCTCTGTACTATGCTGCTTGCTACCTGCTGAACCTGGCCTGTGACCCCGACCATTCTCCGCTTGCTCCCCCTGTACCTACCTGCCCAATTGATATTGACCCGGCCTGCCTGACGACGCTTGCTTGTATATACTGTTATCTGTGGGTGGTTTGGTTTGGTTTGTTTGCACCGTATTATGTTTTAGTATTGCACTGCGTTTATGTTTGTACTGTTAGTGTTAATAAATTATATTGTTTATAACATATCTGAGGTCTGCGTTTCCCTGCTTCAGTCACACACCTCTGGTCATACCTGGGAGCCCTGACATTACACCAAGGCCAATCCTGACCAGAAGTGGCTGCACAGGGAAGCCATCTTGGCTTGTTGATGGGAAGGATGGATCTTGAGGAGGTTGAGTATTTATATCTGCTAGTGTTTGATGACAGGGAGTATGCTTATCAAACTCTGAAGGAGTATACCCGGGATGAATTGCTAGAATGTATACGGCTCGCTCATGTTCTAGTAGATCAGGGCACAGTGTTCTCTGAGGTGCAGCCATTGATTGAGGTTTGTGCAGAGTTGGTTTCATCTGGTTCCCCCGAATGCAGGGATGAATTTCATTTTTTGCCACCATTTAGTGCAGACCAGGTAGAGTCCCTGGTGTGGTTATTAGAGGATGATGTGGGTTACTTTCTGGAGCGTTATTCCACATGTTCACCACAGACACTGAGAGATTGTATAAACGCAGTGCAGTCATTGACCAGACAGGCTTTGTGTAAGCTCAGCTTTGTTCAACCCCTACTGCAGACATGGACAGATTTGTTGCACCCAGCCTCAGTCAGCTTACAAAGACCCAGTCCTGCTTCTAACTCTACTCCTGTATTCCCACCAGCTCCTCCAGTTACAGCCCAGTATACTTGGCTATCTACCGCATGTCAGTACCCTGTTCCCACTCGCTGCACCTATCCTGCCTTTAACCCTGTAAAAAAGCCCTCTGTAGCAACTGCTCCCTCTCCTGTTCCATCCTCCAGTTCTTCTCTGTCTCCAGCTGCTCCATTCGTTTGCAGACCTGCGTTTACTTGCAGTGCTCCAGTAGTTAAAACCAGAAAAAAGCGAAAATTCTTTCCACCAATACCATCCTGCCAGTATCCAAACCTGCCTTCCGTGGGTGAGCCTGCCTTCCGTGGTTCAGACTGATGCCTGTACGCAGCCTGATGCCTCTACTCGGCCTGATCCTCTACTGCCTCTACTCGCGGCCCTGAAGCCTCTCCTCGGCCTGAAGCCTGAAGCCTCTACGCGGCCTGATGCCTCTACTCGGCCTGATGCCTGTACTCGCCTGATGCCTACTCGGCCTGATGCCTCTACAGCCTGAAGCCTCTACTCGGCCTGATGCCCTACTCGGCCTGATGCCTCTACTCGCCTGATGCCTCTACTCGGCCTGAAGCCTCTACTCGCCTAATGCCTAATCTACCCAGCATGATGAACTGATCCAGCCTGACGATCCTATTAGGCCAGTTGACTCGATGCCCGCTGTTGATCCAGATGATCCGGTACCTGATCCGGTGCCCGCTGTCGTGCCAATTGACTCAGAGCCCGCTGTCGTACCTGGTGACTCGGTGCCCACTGCCTTGCCAGATGACGCGGTGCCCGCTGGCAAGCCAAATGACCTGATGCCTGGTGACCTAGTGTCCGCTGTCATACCTGATGACCCGATGCCCGCTGTCGAGCCAGACAATCCGGTACCTGATGGCCCGGTGCCTGCTGCTCCGCCCGGGGGCCCGGTGCCTGCTGCTCCGCCCGGGGCCCGGTGCCTGTCGCCCCGCCCGGGGGCCCGGTGCCTGCTGCCCCGCCCGGGGGCCCGGTGCCTGCTGCCCCGCCCGGGGGCCCGGTGCCTGCTGCTCCGCCCGGGGGCCCGGTGCCTGCTGCTCCGCCCGGGGGCCCGGTGCCTGCTGCTCCGCCCGGGGGCCCGGTGCCTGCTGCTCCGCCCGGGGCCCGGTGCCTGTAGCCCCGCCTGGTGGCCCGCTGCCTGCTGCTTCGCCTGGTAATCCGATGTGCCTCTGCCCGGAGTCCTGCCCGATGTGCCTCTGCCCGGAGTCCTGCCCGATGTGCCTCTGCCTGGAGTCCTGCCCGATGTGCCTCTGCCTGGAGTCCTGCCCGATGTGCCTCTGCCTGGAGTCCTGCCCGATGTGCCTCTGCCCAGTGTGCCTCTGCCCGGAGTCCTGCCCGATGTGCCTCTGCCCGGAGTCCTGCCCGATGTGCCTCTGCCCGGTGTGCCTCTGCCCGGTGTGCCTCTGCCCGGTGTGCCTCTGCTCGATGTGCCTCTGCCCGGAGTCCAGCCCGGTGTGCCGCTGCCCGGAGTCCTGCCCGGTGTGCCAGTCTTTGATATCCCGCCAGTTGCCAGACCCGGGCGGTGGAACATTTTGCCCAGCTAGGACTGTTTGGAGCGTCCTGAGGCCGCTCCTTGAGGGGGGGGGGTACTGTTAGGAATGGACTGGCCAGCAATGGTGGGACTCACCTGCCTTTTGATCTGCAGTACCAGGGCTGGCCAGCGGGTGCTCCCAGCAATCAGAGACTCAACCTTTCAGCCAGCTAACACCTGGAACTGATGATACTGGTGTATTTAAGGGATGGCCAGACTTGCAGACTCTGCCTTGGTGTTGTGTTTGTCCTGGGCCCTGTATCTGTCCTGCATCCTGTTTCTGTTCCTTTGCTGACTTCTCCTGCTCTGATCCTGGCTTGTGACCCTGACCATCCCTCTGTCTGACCCTCTGTACTACGCTGCTTGCTACCTGTTCTGATCCCTGGCTTGTGACCCAGACCATCCCTCTGCCTGACCCTCTGTACTATGCTGCTTGCTACCTGCTGAACCTGGCCTGTGACCCCGACCATTCTCCGCTTGCTCCCCCTGTACCTACCTGCCCAATTGATATTGACCCGGCCTGCCTGACGACGCTTGCTTGTATATACTGTTATCTGTGGGTGGTTTGGTTTGGTTTGTTTGCACCGTATTATGTTTTAGTATTGCACTGCGTTTATGTTTGTACTGTTAGTGTTAATAAATTATATTGTTTATAACATATCTGAGGTCTGCGTTTCCCTGCTTCAGTCACACACCTCTGGTCATACCTGGGAGCCCTGACAGGCCCATGTAAATGTACATCTTCCCACCTGTCCATTGCTTCTCCACTACCAGTTCTTGTAGCAGCATGGAACCCTACCATGAACATAGCATGGGCTCCAAACATGCTCTTGGTTTTAACTCTTCGTACATCTGTACAGGATAGGGACCTCTGCAGTGCAGTTTTTTTCAAGTTGCTATGGGTGATGGAATGAGGCCTAAGGAGTGCTGACAACATCTCCCGTGCTGCTAGAGGCATTTCCACCTACAACAAGTACACATTTACAACAGGCTGCTTGCTGACTGTACTATATGGTGTGAATCCTTGTGAGCTATTATGAGTCCAATAGGTGTTTTAAATAATAATAATATACTAATCTTTAATGT